ACCCGCCGCCAGCCCAAACATCGTCTGACAGCCCCATCACTGTTAGAGAATCTGTTAGGCTAACATTTCCTAACAGGCACGCCTGTTAGCCGCTGTTAGACCCCCTATGAGTTGGTAGGGTATTTAGGCATGTCCAGCATATGGAAGGCAGGGTGGCTTGGCGAAGTCCTGCAGGTAGCTTGAAGTGCTGACTTGACGACAAAAAGGGCAAGTCGTAACACGAAGCAAAAAGGCAACCTGCGCAAGGGGCCAGAGTTCCCTCCAGGCAAAAATCAACAGTGATGAGGATTTACCTCACCTACTGAGTGTGCCCGGCGTGAAGGTTATGGGCGTTGAGTGGCCCACAAAGGAGTTCGGCTGGTTTAGGAGTGTTACTTATGCGGTTTAGAAAGGGGAGGACCGCACAGGGCTTATTGTCTAGCTCAAAAGAACGTTACAATGTTCTAATTATGAGCCGTAAAGCGACTTTTCCAAGCTCGCTGCCGGCTATAAATACCGAAGTCACACTGTCGATCACAGGAGGCCCTCAAAAGATAAGCCTCGAGTACGACCACGACGTATAGTCCACAAATGACACAAGTGAAATAGGGGGGTCCTTGTGAAGCAGCTGCCCGCGTTTCCAAAGCACGTATGGTGTTGGATTGTAAGGTGCCCAAGTACGTTTGCGAGGAAGAGAATGTGGCCAGGCTGGAGAGGAAAGTGCAGTGGCATATTGGAATGTGAGATTAGCGTAAGCGAGTTACAGGGCGTTTTATTGCACGGGCGAATTTACGTGCAAATCTTTCACCGTAGCATCAGTCCTCAGTTCACTTCTTGGAACGAACATCAGCATAGGTGCAAGCCCTCTCGCTTGGAGGGATATGCAAACAAACATCCTGATAGGGGTAAACTTGCACGCTACCGAGCATTCAACCGAGCACATGCATGCTTAGTTGAATGGTGAGATGCGACCCCCCCTTCATTTCGTGCTCGGCAAGCCTGCCACCGCGTACCGGATATGTTGGCGATGTTACAGAACGCTGCACCTTGGTTTCTGTGCGCATTGCGTACGTTGCTCGACCCCGCCGACCAAAACTACACGTGCCCAACTGAAGACATTCCCGGTGGTTGTGCAGCAGCTCTTGAGGCTGTTGCTGGCTGAAATCCATCCTGAGCTGTTGCAACACGGCTAACGCGGGCACGTCCCTATGCACAGCAAATAGCTGTTCCAAGCCAACGGCGGCGTCCATGTCACCGACAAGGCTCTAAACGTCTTATCTGTTCTTATGTTTAATTAAGTTTATGTATGTTATACTTTGCGCAACTTTGTAATTTGACTTTACTCTGAACAAGGTGCTGCATACAACTGCCTCTTCGCCAGCGCTTCATCTTCCGCGGCAGTTTCACGAGCCCAGAGTTGCAAGCTACGACGTTGGCTTTCAGTGCTTTTAGTTACTGCAAAGCATCCACGCAATAGTCCAGCCTGCATGCCGCGTGCGGCTTTGGCCAACATGCCCACCTGCGCAACGCGCTGGCGCGTCTGGTCCTTTCCGCCAAGAAAAGTTATATACAGTTGTACAGGCGCATTTTGTGAATCGCACGCGCGCATCGCCGCGGTAAAATTCGCTCCTGACTTTTGGGACGAGATGTACGTAGACTTTATTCGGCACAGTACGACCGGACACATTTGTGCGAGGGGCTGCTTAAACACCTTATAACCGTGTGACAGCACATTCACACAAGAAATAAACAATTCACATGTAAAATACATAAACATACGCAAACGAGCGTACATTCACGTCTCGTCCATAAGTCGATCAGCGAAGTGTAAGATAAGAACCAAACACCTTACGCGATGATACACGAAATTCGCGTATTCACACCGATTATAACCTAAGACGATTATAAAAGACGGTAAAATGAACGTGACGCTAAAATGTCGTGACTCCTATATGATTATATGTAGATAAGGGGCACATATGGCGTGGGACACCAAGCAAGGGGCTTGTTTGTTTCGTACGTGTAAGTATGTCCTGCTACCAGCTGGTGCCGTTTTCTCATCGTCAGCAGGCAGCCCCTCGCCTACCAGAAGACCCTTGGTGGTGCCAAGGACATGTGTGTACTGGCAACTGTCTAGGCACACGCACACATCTGACACATTCGTTCCCAGGATGCCACATCACGACACATTATTCCCATCTACCCAACCACCTAGCGGTTCGCACAACCATGCACCTTACCCCCGGTGCTCTCACATGTATATGACCGAGAAGGCAGGCATGTTACCATGAGCAAAATGCACCATCCATTCCTTCTCCCACATGCAGGTGTTGCCTCATGTCAACTCCTAAGTCACCTATCTAATAAGTCATACATCCAGGCATCCATCCTGGCCTCGTTCCGTCATCATCTCTATGTAATATCGATACCCTGCGGCAGGATATCCTACTGCAGCACGAACTGTCGTATTTGTACACCGGTACCGCTATGGCCCTGCACGTGATTTATGGTTATGCATGTATCACAACACCACCGCGCACATGCTAGCTTTCAAGTTCTATCCAGGGTATGATTGGACATGCATGCATAGCAGCATACATGCATGTTGGTAATGCAATAAGTTATTGTCCACGCAGCTGCTGCCTGTACACTGCAATCACTGATGTGCCATGAAACTTATAAAAGATCCAAATGTTGAATCCGAACAAATCTTGCAAAACATAGCCAGCAAAGCAGCCGCATCTGCTGCCGCATAATAACCAAGCTTTCAAGACATGGCCAGCAAAGCACCAGCGGATGCTGCTGCAGGAGTAAGCCAGCAGTGCGTGTGCACGTGTGTATTTATGTTAGCATCGAATGAATGTATATAACCTGATGCGCCACCCAGCAATATTAACTAACATCAGCTGGCCCACCGCCACTCGTGCATCATGCCATTTCTGCAGGTAGGGTGCTTGATGGATAACGTGTATCTACCGGTGCACAGGCCCTAGCTCTATCTGGGCGATGCGGTGCGGATGGCTGGGCAAAGCAGCGCGCTGCTATGCCGTATCCAACCGACGCCACCGACCCAGCAGCCGACACCCAACAGACCATTCCCTCCACGGTACTAAGAGCTCGTCCTTCCGCCTTTCCTTACCACCGAACGAGACCCAAAAGAGATGACAACCATGAATGGTGTGTGACGTGCTTGCATGAATGCAAAAGTTCCACATTTAATCCTCATCATGTCGGAAGCGACGGAAACGCTGCAGGGAACCGGAAGTGCTACAACTCTCACGCTGCAAGGAATACTGGGATTAGGACATATCCACAAATCGTATCATATGAAAGCATTTATTGCTTGTATAGGTACAAATTAATTACCGCATTTTTACTTTATATGCCTAATGTCTCGCTCGTCAAACCTCCTCACGTGCGCATGTATGTATCGTCGCCCAGAATTACTCACTGCTGCTGTACTTACCGCGACCAATGAGCCCGCTGGCAAGCTGGCGCTGCTACACTGTTTATTTCCAACAGCTGGTTGCTAGCTGCCTTTCTCTTGCTGTCAGTCATCTGCTATGAATCAAGCCGCTTGCCACTGTTGCATCTATCATCACCACCACCCTGTCGCCAGCACATCGTAGCGGCTCCTCTACACGGCCGGAGGTGGCGCAATGAGGCCCTGATCTGCCCAAGCGAATAGATGTTGCATGTGCGGCCGGTAAAAGTCGACCAGTGGTACAGCCATCACCCTGCCCATCCAGATAACTGTGCCTTTGTAGATTATTAGGCCCATTTTGATGTTCCTGAGTGTCTTTCACCCTAAGCAAAACAACTGCCTTGCGAAAAATGTTGCCGTACAGCATGGTGGTTCTAGCTTTGCACATAGTGGAAGAGAATTTCGACAATTTGGGAAAATATGGGGGCCCTGGTGAAGCAGCTGACCGCGTTATAGATGTGGAAGGTGCGGCAGTACGTTGGTGAAACATCATGTGGCAGGACTGGAGAGAATAGTGCAGCAGTATATTGTGAGTGTAGTTGAAGCGTTACAAGGCGTTCGGCACACGGGCGAATTTACGTGCATACCTTTCATCGTGGGCGCGTCATGACGTGTAGCATCAGTCCTCAGTTCACTTCGTGTAACGAACATCAGCATAGGTACAAGCCCTCTCGCTTGGAGGGATATGCAAACAAACATCATGATAGGTAAACTCGCACGCTACCGAGCATTCAACCGAGCACGCTACGAGCAGTCCTTGTAAGGAGCAGCATACCACCCAAAACGCTGGTGTCGGTATCGGCTGTTCCAAAAAGCTGTTCCAAGCCATCAGCGGCGTCCATGTCACCCACACGGCTCTGAACGACTTTCCTGTTCTTATGTTTAATTTGTGTATGTTATATTTAATTTGCGTCAGTTTGTAATGTGACTTTAGTCGGAACAGGGTGCTGTTTGCGTTGCACTACCAAAAGCAGGCGCCTCTTCTTTTTGGAAAGTGCTGCTTCGCCAGACGCTTCCTCTTCCTGCGGCCGTTCCATGAGCCCGGTCTTGCAAGCAAAGTTGTATGCTTTCAGTTACGTCAAAACAGCCACCCATTCGTCCAGGCCTGCTGCCGCGTGCGGCTGTGGCCACCATGCCCTCCGGCGCAGCGCGCTGGCACACCGCAGCCTTTCGCCAAAAAAATTACATACACTTGTACAGGCGCATTTTGAGAATTGCACGCGCGCATCAGCACGGTAAATTTCGCGCCTGGCTTTCGCGTCTTGTACGGATGTTTTATTCGGCACAGTACGACCGGACACATTTCTGTGAAGGGGCTGCTTAACAAGCACTGGGGTCCTGGTTAAGCAGCTGACCGCATAAGAAAAGTATATAGATGTGGAAGGTGCCGAAGTACGTCGGTGAAACATGTGGCAAAACCATTTTATGATGTAGGATGGATACTTGAATCCCGCGACCAATTAGATTTCCGGCCAGATTCCTCCAATCGCCTCTAGGTTCACACTTTGTGCACAACCCATCTAAGGACAACACATTCTTACGAGTGCAATTGGCAACAATTACACGCAAGGTTTCGCAGCATGCTAGCCTGGCGCCACACAAAGCAGACGACAGCAGCAACCAGGGCAAGGTTAACATCCTGAGCGAGAATTTTGTTCCTCTGGTGGAGCTGCAGCCGGGCCAGCGTGGCATTGTAGTGGAGGACTCAGGTGGACTCAAGCTCTCCGATCTACACACCGCGCAACTTGCCATGTTTTTGTACTCTCTGGACTTGAGGGAGCTGTACAAGAAATGGTACAAGAAGAAGGGTGAGCAATTGAGAGGGAGCTGGTCAACAAGGCCCAGGCCATGGTGGTCGGCGACACCCTGCAGTGCAAGTGCAGTGAATCGTGCTTCCAGGATATTCTGTGGTGAGCGTTCAAGGAGGAGGAGGAGGATGAGGCACTTCTCGAGCACTGCAAGGCGGTGCTGAAGGACACGAAGAGCACACCCGGCACACCGCACCAGGTGCACACCAGGTGCACCACATCATCTGTGAAGCCAACACAGCGGTGCACAGCCTGGATGATGACACGCTGTGGCAGCTCACTCCTGACGGGCCGGGAGGCGTGCAGGAGTTGGCTGAGGGCCTCGGCCGTGTTGCTGTGGTGTCTGTGGTCAAGATGATGGCCAAGGATCTCCTTTAGGTGCATGATGGGGCATCGCTGTGCCACGGTGCGGGACGACAGTACACAGCAAGGGTTGAGAGGGTGAGCAAGTAGGTTATGGGACTGGAGGAGGCTACCGACTGGAGGGCTGTGCTGGGGGAGGCCACACGAATGTTTCAATGTTTCAGGGAAATCGGGAAACCTCTTCGGGGGTACAAGAATCTTCAGAACAGTTTCCTGTTTTCCCTGAAATATCTGAAACAAATGAAACTCTGCAGCTAATTAATGATAAAAACATTCAAAATGGCCTGAAACAGCCTGAAACAAGAGCATCACACTGTGGAAAACCAAATGGGATGGAACACACTGCACAACACCACTCGCAGGCCGGAACGGGACACCCCAGGACCCCCTGTCAGTCAAGGGGGCGGGGGAAGGGAGGGGAAGGGGAAGCAGGCGCAAGGATGCAGGAAGGTGGGCAGTGGCACACTGGTGGCCGCTGTTGGAGCAGCCCCCCTCCCCCCAAAAAATGCTTACCAGCCGAAGCACTTGCTGAGCAGTCCGAGGATGCAGCACATTCTCGGGCTTCAGTGCCTCATACTTGGACTCCAGTTCCTTGTACTTGGACTCCAGTGCCGCATACTCGGACTTCAGTGCTGCCTTCTCGGCTGCGGTTGCAACCGTCACATCCACAAGCTTGTTCCACAACATGTTATTCTCATTATGCAAACATGCCAATTCAGCTTGCACAGCAGCCAGCGACGCACACACATCACCTTCACTAGTCCAAGTATCGAACCCAAGAGCACTGGGAAGGGCAAACATGATGAGGATGGGCACTGGGAAGGGCAAACATGATGAGGATGGGCAAAATGGCATGAATTCAGTTTTTTTACAAAAATAGGCAACACCGTGCAGGATGTAATTAATTTGGGGGGCATCATCTTACCCCAAACCCCGACCCAAACACTCACGGTTTTGAACCATGACTATGAATGAGTTCAAGGCCGGCAGCCAGGTCGTCAAAAGTGGCAGTGAAGACCATTCTGCGGACTACTCTGAATTGCGAGGGGTTGGTCCGTCTGGAGCCCCGAACCACGTCCAGCCCTGCATGGCGCAAGGTGCTGAGCTCCCTCATCATCGGTTCCACACGGTGGAGCTCCTGTGTCGTGTGCCAAGCCAGCAAGGCAGCCATGCGCTCCTGCAAGGCAGCCGGAGGATGTGAAAGCTCAAAGATTGTGGTGATTGTGAATCACCAGAGCACCCGATGCCTCTGGCTCTGCGCAATTGATTGATATGATGTAACACCAGGCAAAGAGTACTCAGTTGGGAGATGCCAGGGGAGCTGATCCCTCTCACATTCCTCCCCCCCTCGAGCGAACGTCCTCGGGCGCCCCCGGGCATATCCCGTAGGAGTTTTGGTTGTTTTGAGATCCCGTAGGATTGTGTATTTGTTATAGTGACATTTCGTCAGTCCCCGTCTGAGATGGAGGACTTTGTTTTTACTCAGCTGGTAGACTTCTCGCCCACCCGGGCATCCACCTTTGGGGTAAGAGTATGCTGCATCATGCCTGGTGTGCGATATGTTCGCAGCCGGATTCGATCCGGGGAGTTCCCACCTCCTAGCAATTCGCACCAATGTAACACCAGGCAAAGAGTACTCAGTTGGGAGATGCCAGGGGAGCTGATCCCTCTCACATATGACACCTTGTTTGGCCTTCATAAAGTAAAGAGACACAGCATGTCTGTGTCCACATAAGTTCATGACTGAATGTAGAACCTGAAGAGAACAGCCGCAGAGGACATCGGTAAACGATCTACATCACCTGGTCTGACAAGGTTCAGGTCAAGGGCTTACTGGGGGCCGCTAGAGGACGTGTTTTGCTGCAGATGCTAGAAATTAGAAAGTAGAAATACCAAAAAGTACAGTATGTGCCAATGCCCTCAGAAGGGTACCCAAAAGATAATAATGTTATAGGTAAAGTATCCATCCATGTCCAGTAGCTGTCCTTGATGGCAATGGGTCATCCAATTATCCTCATGTTTCAGGCTGTTTCAGCCATGTTCCAGCCGAGTACACGATATGGATCGAGCAGGAAAGGAGGATGTTTCAATGTTTCACATGTTTCAGGACTTTCATGAAAGTGGTTCGGGCCCAAAGGACTTTCCTGAAAAGCCTGAAACATTGAAACATTCCAAACATCTGCAGGCTCATCCCAGCAGGCCCTTGAGAATATGTGTTTCAGGGGGGTTGGAACATGCCTGGACCAAGCCTGAAACAAGCCAAGCGTCCCATAGGAGGGTTCCCAGCGAGCCATGAAGGCCTGGGCCCTGCCCATGAACAAACATCAGAGGCAGCCCAGGAGGAGAGGGATAGGGATAGGTTGAGGAGATGGATCCGATACAGGTTCAGCTACCCGTGGGTCTGTGACCCATGGGACAGCCCCTTTCCCAGTAAAGGCACTGTGAGCACGTGGTGTGTGGTGCCAACCCAGGGCTGCATGCAGCCTGCAGGGATGCTCAGGTTTCATGTCCAGGCATACACATACGCCGGCACAGATATGTCTCTGCATTGGCAACAAGGTGGCAACGAGGCCATCACTGGGGCACCACAGGATATTGCCACACAGTCACATGCAAAGGAATCCTGTCGGCGGGCTCCTGTCACCCTGTGGATGTGGTGGCAGGTCGTCACCACCCTCACGGTGGCTTGTCATTTCTGTAGGTGGTGAGAGCCAGTGTCGGTGTGTAGTGTGGGCGGCTGCAGTTCCTCAGGGCCATTGTGGTGTTGTTGGGCCTGTGCATCTGGCCTGGTGGCCTTCACTGCTTTCTATAGGAAGCTTATGTTCCTCCTGGCCTTTGGTTCCTGGTGTGGTCTTGGTGGCTGCAGCCCTTGGTTCGCCGCCTTGTATAGCAGGCCAAGCTGTTTGGGCCTTGAGACTCATGTGTGTATGAGCCAGCTGCCCTGTAACGTCTTGGGAACACTACAGCAGGAGCACAAGCCTAGGGGATTCACACACAATACTCAGGCAGTCCTCAATACCCCCGTTCATCGCGGTCAGCCAAGTGGGATCCCTTGTCTGCCTTGAAGAGTTGTTCAGGTCCCGCCTACCTGGACAGGTGCCATGCCTGGAGTCCAACAGGATGTGGACATGAGCTGCTGCTGCCTTTGGTCTCTTACAGGATTCCTAAACAACCAAAACAATTAGGGTTTCAAAATCATTACAAGGCAGTGGTGTTACCAGGGTTCAGCCCCATGGGACTCATGTGTCAAGGCATTCAAGTACCGGCCATGGCACTGGAGCCTCACAACCATCAAATCATGCATATGGTTGTGAGGGTCCATAGCACTGGAGCCTCACAACCATCAAATCATGCATATGGTTGTGAGGGTCCATAGCACTGGAGCCTCACATGTTCCAGGAGGAGCCACAGAAGGGGTCACTAGGCATTGAGGAAACACATGACTGGGACCTAAGCCTAAGAAACTGTTATTATAACAAGCCTGCTGAGTTAATGGGGAGGCCACAGGGAACCCTTCTCTGCAGCCCCAGACATACCAACCCGGTAATCATGTGCTACTTCTGTGTGCAAGCAACTGTACACGGCACCCTTGAACACACCTCATGACTATGGTTGTTGGTGCATTAGAAATTACAAATAATATTACAATTAAACTAATTAGAATTCTAATGAGAAAGTTAGAAGACCCCTTGAGAACAGATTAGAACGTTCTAATGTTGTACACCCATTAGAATGGCTATTCAGGCCGCCTCTGCAGCCTGCAACGGCACATTTTTCTAGGAAAAATGGCTGATGCTGATGCTGGGCCATCAAAACCACCAGTTTCGAAGACTCCTAAAGCAACATACACTTATGGCAACAAGGAGCTAGACGCTCCAGCCTACACGGAAGCCCTGAAGAGTGCAAAAGCAAGAGGCAGTGCTTCCTGGTGGTCGTTTTTCACCGTGATCTTGACAGAAAGAGTCGTGAAGCTGAAGTGCACCATTTGCAGCGAGGTGCTGGGTGCCAAAAATCCGGACTGTGTGTTGGGTGTTGCTTTGCAGACAATTAGGACTGGACTCTTGGACTCTTGGTTCAGGTACCAAAGATGTTGGGAAGGCGTACGCAGAGACAGTTTAAGACAGTTTAAGACAGTTTAAAGGCGAAATTAGTGACCCAGAGGTCACTTCGACCGGGGGTTTGGCTGAGAAGTCCTGCTTACGGGTGTCGTAGCCCCGTAAAAACCGTTAAAAACACCTGGGTTAGCATCTGCCGTAACCATGGTGAAACTCCGAAGTGAAAAGTCCCCCTCCCTGAGAAGTTACCCCAGGTCTTCTAATATTATTTCTAACGTTCTAATTAGAAATAATATTATAATTAGTAGAGAACGCCTGAAATTCTAATAATTTCAACAACCCTACTCATGACCCACCCAACCAACATGCCTCATAATGCTGTTGGAACATGCGAGCCCTGAAATGGAAGCAAGCTGAGAAACACACTATTTGGACAGCCAGGGCAGGAACCCCGTTGCTGGCCAGCTTGACCGGCACCGCAACCAGCACACACACACACCTCAACCACTTCTCCATGACCTCCTTAAGCCCCTGTGTCTGGGTGACAAGCTCCTCCTATCATGGACGTCATTCTACACTAATACAACAATTGCTGACTCAAGTTTCAATACTACATGCTCAATGTAAATGTGTACCTTGCAATGGTGTAAGGGCTGGTCCGCCCTTGAGAAGCATCTACCGACCTGGACCGACTGCTGCAGCTTTTGTGCTGATGGATAGTACCGGAGGCCATCCAAACAAGAATGTCCTCTCACAAAATGTGGGGCCAAGCGCAAATGGAGGGTTCACTGATGCAGGCAAACATTAGGGGCAGGCCGAAACCAAGCCCATGCAAACACCCTAGACCACCCAGATTGAGCCTACACAAACACGGCATGCACCTGTTGTAACCTCCCAAAGAACAAGCTCCACCACAAGCAGCCAAAGGAAAAGGCCAACGAAGCCTGAACACCCGGAGAAACACGTCGCAACCACTACAGTGCTGATGGGAGGTCGGGGTCCAGTTAGGGAGCCTGCACAGCATCACACCGCCATCAGAGTTGGCCAGAAAGGGCTGGTTCAATGGGACTGACTCCCAGCCCCGATAGGGAATACCAAAGGCACCTCCCCTGCTACCTCATCACGGCACTGTGGCGGTGTCGCCTGGTACCAGCCCCCTAAACGCGCCCTCCACAGGTGTGTTGATCCATATTAGGCCACAGTAGCCAGCACAGATCTGGCAGGTCGCCGCCATGGTGCCCCTGGCTGGCACCTCTCCCCCCTACCAGCCCCCACCCCCTGGGCTGTGACCTCTCGTGTTACAACTGCATGCAACCCACATGCAGTTACACCGCAATAACTAGCCTTATGTCCACAGCGCTACGATAAGCCAGCCCTTAAGGGGGCAGCAGCCTTGCGGCATGCCCGTGGCTCTGCACGACATGTCCATGAATGATGCATGCAAACACCGCGCATGTCATCATGGCGCCTTCCCCTTGCCTTGGCAAACCAAGGCCCTGCCTTCTGCCTGCCTAAGTCAGCAACTTGCAGGCAGGCACGCACTCGCACCTCTTCACTACTAGCCGTGCCCGCCACGCTTTGGCTCAGGAGTCCGGCTTCGTTCAGGCTTTGGCATGCCAGCACCCGCAGCACCTGTCCCGCAGCACCTGTCGGGAGGTTGGGGTGGAGGGATGGGAGAGCTTCGATAGTTGGGTCACCTGTCTCTGACTCATCGCGTGTCACGAGCGATCGAACCATGCTAGGGTGAGGGGCTCCTGTGTGGGTGCAACAGCTCCACACCGCCTTCGTGCGGCCTCCCCCGGCACAGCCCTCCAGTCGGTAGCCTCCTCCAGTCCCATAACCTACTTGCTCACCCTCTCTCCCTCTCAACCCCTGCTGTGTCGTGTCATTCCGCACCGTGGCTGGCAGCGATGCCCCATCACGCACCTAAAGGAGATCCTTGGCCATCATCTTGACCACAGGCGCCACGGCAGCACGGCCGAGGCCCTCAGCCAACTCCTGCGCGCCTCCCGGCCCGTCCGAAGCGAGCTGCCGCAGCGCGGCGTCATCCAGGCTGTGCGCCCATGCGTTGGCTTCACAGATGACGCGGTGCACCTCGATGAACGCGTCTGGTGTGCCGGGCGTGCTCTTCATGTCCTTAAGCACCGCCTTGCAGTGCTCGAGAAGCGCCTCGTCGTCGTCCTCCTCCTCCTCCTTGAACGCTCGCCGCAGAATATCCTGGAAGCGCGATTCGCTGCACTTGCACCGCAGGGTGTCGCCGACCGCCATGGCCTGGGCCTTGTTGACCAGCTCCCTCTCAATTGCTCGCCCCTTCTTCTTGTACCATTTCTTGTACAGCTCACTCAACTCCAGAGAGTACAAAAACATGGCGAGTTGCGCGGTGTGCCGATCGGAGAGCGTGAGTCCACCTGAGTCCTCCACTACAATGCCACGCTGGCCCGGCTGCGGCTCCACCAGAGGAACAAAATTATCGCTCAGGACGTTAACTTTGCCACGGTTGCTGCTGTCGTCTGCCTTGTGTGGCGCCAGGCTAGCATGCTGCGAAACCTTGCGTGTAATTGCTGCCATTTGCGCTCGTAAGAAAGTGTTGTCCTTAGATGGGTTGTGCACAAAGTGAGAACCTAGAGGCGACTGGAGGAATCTGGCCGGAAATCTGATTGGTCGCGGGATTCAAGTATCCATTCTACATCGTAAATTAATTTTTGATTCCTAAATTGTCGAATTTCTCTTCCACTAGTTGCAAAAGCTAGAACCGCCATGCTGTACGGCAATGTTTTTCGCAAGGCAGTTGTTTGCAAGACGCCCGGAGGGCCCTGACTCGAAGTGAGCCCCACCCTGGAGTTAGTTGGTACCGCTTTCATGTACTTCCTCAAACAAACTGCTTCTCTAGTACTGTGATGTTTCATTTGTTATATTCAAGAACTGAACTGAACTTGCAAGGCGCCACCACAGTTGCCGGTGCCATGAAAGCGCAACCGTCCCGGGACACAGCCTGGGGCGAGCCGTTATTGTGTGTAACCAAACGAACTCACCTGATATTGCAGCAGCAGGCTGGATGAAGGTCAAGCAAGCAAGGAAGGATAGGGTTCGTGGATGGACGGGGGCACATATTGATCGTCAGGGGTCTGGGACATGACATTGAACGATCGAATGTTATACCACGACTTCAAAAACGTACCGATTGGCGGATGCAGATCCCGTGATAAGCCCCAGATACTACATCGAAGCCCTCTGCTGCTTTTGTGGGCACAAGAACATGTCTAGCATGCCTATATGATTATATGTAGATAAGGGGCACATACGGTGTGGGACACCAAGCAAGGGGCTTGTTTGTTTCGTATGTGTAAGTACGTCCTGCTACCAGCTGGTGCCGTTTTCTCATCGTCAGCAGGCAGCCCCTCGCCTACCAAAAGACCCTTGGTGGTGCAAAGGACACGTGCGTACTGGCAACTGTCTAGCCACACGCACGCATCTGACACATTCGTTCCCAGGACGCCACATCACGACACATTATTCCCATCTACCCAACAGTAATAATAATCAACCCAACCACCTAGCGGTTCGCACAACCATGCACCTTACCCCCCCCGCTCTCACATATATATGACCGAGAAGACAGGCATGTGCGCCTAGGATCCATGGCCTCTTCCCCTGCTTTACCATGAGCAAAACTCACCATCCATTCCTTCTCCCACATGCAGGTGTTGCCTCGTACACGCGTGTCAACTCCTAAATCACCTATCGAATAAGTCATACATCCAGGCATCCATCCTGGCCTCGTTCCGTCATCATCTCTATGTAATATCGATACCCTGCGGCAGGATATCCTGCAGCAGCACGAACTGTCGTATTTGTACCGCGGTACCGCTATGCACTGCACGCGATTTATGGTTATGCATGTGCCACAACACCACCGCGCACATGCTAGCTTTCAAGTTCTATCCAGGGTATGATTGGACATGCATGCATAGCAGCATACATGCATGTTGGTAATGCAAGAAGTTATTGTCCACGCAGCTGCTGCCTGTACGCTGCAATCGTTGATGTGCCATGAAACTTATAAAAGATCCAAATGTTGAATCCGAACAAATCTTGCAAAACATAGCCAGCAAAGCAGCCGCATCTGCTGCCGCATAATAACCAAGCTTTCAAGACATGGCCAACAAAGCACCAGCGGATGCTGCCGCACGAGTAAGCCAGCAGTGCATGTACACGTGTGCATCTTTTAACATCGAATGAATTTATATAACCTGACGCGCCACCCCGCAATATTAGCTAACATCAGCTGGCCCATCGCCACTCGTGCATCATGCCAAAGTACGACAGCAAAAGCGCTCTTCTGGCAACATCCGACACAGCGGGGGTTGGATTTTCCAGGGCCATTTATCCACCAGTTCTTGCTTGGATACGGCATAGCAGCGCGCTGCTTTGCCCAGCCATCCGCACCGCATCGCCCAGATAGAGCTAGGGCCTGTGCACCGGTAGATACACGTTATCCATCAAGCGCCCTACCTGCAGAAACAAGGACCGACGCCACCGACCCAGCAGCCGACGCCCAACAGACCATTCCCTCCACGGTACTAAGAGCTCGTCCTTCCGCCTTTCCTTACCACCGAACGAGACCCAAAAGAGATGACAACCATGAATGGTGTGTGACGTGCTTGCATGAATGCAAAAGTTCCACATTTAATCCTCATCATGTCGGAAGCGACGGAAACGCTGCGGGGAACCGGAAGTGCTACAACTCTCACACTGCAAGGAATACTGGGATTAGGACATATCCACAAATCGTATCATATGAAAGCATTTATTGCTTGTATAGGTACAAATTAATTACCGCATTTTTACTTTATATGCCTAATGTCTCGCTCGTCAAACCTCCTCACGCGCGCATGTATGTATCGTCGCCCAGAATTACTCACTGCTGCTGTACTTACCGCGACTCATTGCAATGAGCCCGCTGGCAAGCTGGCGCTGCTACGCTGTTTATTTCCAACAGCTGGTTGCTAGCTGCCTTTCTCTTGCTGTCAGTCATCTGCTATGAATCAAGCCGCTTGCCACTGTTGCATCTATCATCGCCACCGCCCTGTCGCCAGCACGTCGTAGCGGCTCCTCCACGCGGCCGGAGGTGGCGCAATGAGGCCCTGATCCGCCCAAGCGAATAAACGTTGCATGTGCGGCCGGTAAAAGTCGACCAGACGAGCAACGGCATGGCCAAAAGGACTGTCGCCATCAGGCAAGAATGCTGGCTGCTGCTCGTGCTGCTGCTGACCTTGCGGATCAATATCCCCATCATAGCTGCCGCCGCTAGCTCCGGCTCCCCCTCGAAGCGCTGCCGCACCGCCGCCACGCGCGCCACCCACTGTACCATCATTGCTGCTAGCGCCGCCACGAGCGCTTGATGAGGTTGAGCGGGACATGGCGCCGGAGGGCGTCAACCATCGCACCTCGCCCTTCTTGCGGGCGCACTGCCAAGACTGGTAGAGGACATGACGTATAAGAGGAATTGGTAAGAAGGACGCAAAGGCAGGGATTAAAGGCAGGGGCATCCATGCGCGCAAAAGGCAGGATGCAACGCAAGCGGGCAAGCGCAAGCTTGGCGTCTACCTATCGAGTGTCTTTCCCCTGTTTGCCTTTGCATATAATACGACGACTGGCGTATGTAAGTGTGACGGATGGGTCAGCCATCGCATGCGGATAAAGATGCTATCTGGTGTTCAGACAGTTTGCTTTGGAACCGTACTGCCTCAGATGCCAGCAGCCACAGCTGCCTTTAACCAAAGACACTTAGCTAACGTAGCTGCTTAGGTAAACCTAAGCTACAGCAAACTACCACGTAATTCCCCGACGCGTTCTGTGCGTACCACCTACACAGATACGGTTTTACATGGGTCAGGTGCGTGGACGCGAGTGAGCCACTGCTAACCTCCTACTTACATAGCAGCCTCGGCTGTTGTACACGAGTGCCAAGCCCTCGGCGCTGTAGTTGCCAGGCTCTGCACCTAGGAAACCCTCAACCTTGCGAAGGACAGCCAGCGGATCTGCCGCCAGTTCGTCCGTGTACAGCACCAGGAGCTGCAACGCGTGCACATCAAGAAGGAGGCATCAAAGACAGGGGCAGGTAAGTCAACACTACCGAGGAAACCGCGAGACGGGAGAGCACCTCGCTAAGCTCAGACGCCCTGGGCATTAAGGGCTCAGGTAATACAAGGTAATACAAGTCGCCTCTGCTCATTTGTCACGATATTTAATTCGTTTGCAATCGCAGGTGGGGCTGATGGCGCTGCGTCCTCGATGTCTTGCCCACCCTTGCCCTGTCATCGAGCTAGGTATCTATGCGCACGGCTGCCCTTCCCGCCGCTCCTGCTAGGGAGTAGGAGCGTAAGCACGGTTACAAGCACCCAAGGAAATGTATGTCCTCTGCTACACCACGCACTCTTGAGTTATCCCTTACAGATGTGTCCTGTTCATCACTCGTCATGCATTCAGCAGCAATCAAGCCCAGGATACCCCGCCGGCCCAACCCCGCTTTGCCCGTTTCTTTGTGTAATTTCATGAAACATACTGAGGAATCCCTAGGCAGGCCCTTGGGCCCCCTCAGGGCTCGTATGGGCCCCCAGATTACACCTTCGGAGAGTAACACAACTCGAGGTGTAGAACGCACACACATACATACATACACACACACAATACTGAGGAATCAAACCCGCCTCGGGACCCCGACCCCAGTCCGGACCTGCTCCTGCGGAAAGTGCGCCAAGTAGTTCTCCAGGAATACGTCGTAGACGGACCAGCCAAGGATGTCTACAAAGGAAAAAGCAAGAAACACTCAATGTCGGTTTGCGAGCACGCGCAAATAAAAAGAAATGGCTGGCAGTTGAACGGCCCGCAAGCCATCACCAGCCAGCCCTCCAATACCCTTAGACATGCCCAATAATCCATCCATCTACCCATCCATCCATCAAGCTCGCACTCACTCGACTTTGCGGCGCATTGCGCCGCCATCCAGTTCCCCAGGTCCATGCCTCCGCCCCAACCAGCCGCGGGCCGCTGCTGCTGCTGCTGCTCGCGGGTGGTGGCCGCACCGTACGCTACTGCTGGCTGCCCGCGCTGGGTGCCACCGTTGCCGCCGGTGTAACGAGCCGCCAGTTTCCGGCAGCATTCAAGCTTGTCCAACTCTTTAGCAACGTAGCTCTGAAACGTCTCGTTGACAACCTGCCGTTATTGGAGGTGGACGCAAAGCAAAGCGAGGTCCTCACCCTCTCACGTCTGCATTCGATCGCCTTCCGTGTCTTCTGCCATGCTAAGCTTCGCTGTTGACGCCGTATTCGACAGCATTACATTTATCAGCCACCCGTCGTCACGTGCGATATACAGCAGCCAACTAGAATCCGTTCTCCAGTCGGCGCATGTCCGACAAGCACATAGTAGTCTCCGACTCGAGGAAGCCTTTGCTTCTACATTTCGACAAACCAGTTCTTAAACCGCGCTGCTTTGGCAGCAGGTCCCGGGCCCTATTTGCGCTCCCCTTCCCATTGCAAAAACAGTCTAACCAGACAAGAGAGGACTTTGAAGAAATGCGTCAGGGGCAGGTAGGCAGGCAGGTAGACAGGCAGGTAAGCAAACAAGATGGACATTCGGAAGGGCAGCCCGACAGACACACAGACAGACAGACGACATTCCCACCTCCGCGTGGCAGGCCCCAAACTTCAAGGCCTTTTGCTCCATAAACCGACTCAGCACCCGCGATACGGGATCTCGGAGTACGGCAAGCAGCTGCGGGAGGTGTGGAGGGACAGGATGGGTGAGTGGTGTAATCGGAGGCAAACCAAAGGTGCCCGCATTCCTTGCAAAGGGTCGATAGGGCCGGCGGGTGGTTGAGCTAGCAATGCTGTGCACGTGCGTCTAATACTGGCAAGTTCGAACGGAGGGCATGGCGCCTCATGAACTGGCGTGGCTTTTAGGCCTGTCATCGGCCCGTTGTCATCTGGGTCAGTGAGGCATGGTAAATTGGGAATCGACAAGGCAGGCAGCAGGCAGGCAGAAAGGTCGGCAGGCAGCTAATGGACAGTATTCGCCTTGAAGCAATTACTCAACATCTGCCTCCTAATTGGATTGACAAAGACCCAAAAAAGGGCCCAGAACGTGCGTACGCGCGCGTCTGGAATAGCTGGCCGCCGAAAAGTGGGATCACACTGTAGCGCATACGTGTACGAATAGTGCGTGGCGTACTGTACGACAGCTACTACAGCGTCTTTAGGAGCTCGTTCTCTGGACCAAGTGGAGACGAAAGGAGCAACCCGCTTGAACCCTAGCAATGCCCGGTGGGTACATATCCAAACGCGTGGGAAGCACCGGCAAACAGAGTTTGATGTGCATCGCCGTTTTTTCTTCCTTTCACCACCGGCAGGTCGCAATCTCCACTAGATGAGATCCATATGGGTAGGTGCAAACCTGTCTAGTGTAGATGGAAAAGTGGATTTAGCGCCGTCGCTTATCTACAACGGAATTTATCTTAGTGCATCCAGCCTAAGCCGAATTGTTAAGCGATGTATATTATCCAACAAATGGATCACCGGTGCATCGGCCATCGTTAGGCTCGATCCGGCACCTTAATGTGGGCATACGTAGTGCATACCTTTATTTTGGGGTTCATAGTCTTGAAGACCAGCGGGCAGCACAGGCACGACAGATGCGTGGCGGACCAATCGCCTACTAGCACACGAGCTCGGTCCTGCTGCAGGACGGCAGAGGCATGTGTGCGTGCGTACTCGACGGCGTGCTGGTAGCCCTCCAGGTCATTATCGCAAAGCGTGGTTCTCTGGTAGTCCCCGTTGAACCACAGCGTCTCCTGTCCACATGCAGAGAAGTGCGATGGAGCGATTTGGACAAGGCGGGGTATATGCGTGTGCGCCAGTACTTCAAAGGTGGCTCCAGGTCAAATAGTGCGCGCAGCACGGTGCAGATAGGACCATTAAACTTTGGTATACTTAAAGTTGCGACATCTGTGACACACAGCATCGGTTGCGGCAATGATGCCATACTGTTTTGGCATGTGGGATGCCCAGGGATACCATGGAAACTAGGAAAAGGTGACCGGGCGTGCCGTATGAATGTGACAACAGGGTTTGCGGGCGCGCCTGAGCACGCAAGCAGATGACCTTACCTTGTTCTGTCCAACCCAGGTTATAGCCGGGTTAGACTTGAGGTTCATCCATAAGGTACTGGTGCCGGACTACAGTGGGGTTATGGTATCATAAACGGGTACACAGGTCGGTCAGTCCGACACAAGAATTGGTCAGTCTTGCGAAGCCCTGTGCAATTAAGCTCCGTGTTTCACGCCTACTCCTCCGTATGATCATGGAGAATTCGCTCCAAAAGCCTTCGTTATGCATGCAAACAACACGGACGAAAATGGCCTTTGGGTTTAACGGAAGCTGCTTCCTTGATGTAATAAAAATGTGTTTGCATCGCTCTTGCACGCCCTTAAATTGGCCTCCACGCTTGGTTCAAACAAACCAAATTGACAGCCAACCATCACCACCAAACTCGCCTTCTGTTGTCCCAAGATAGCGTAATCTAGAGGGGCATACAGGTGATCAGGGTCGCTTGCTGACGGAACGGCCTTCACGAAGGCAGCGGGCTCCAGAGTCACAAGCATCAGCAAAAGCATGCGTAGATAAGTCGCCGAGCGTGACAGCCCTAAAGCCATTACATGGCTTTGCATCATAATTGCAATGACGGGGTTATGTGAATTCAGTATGGTTCAAAGGTAAGCACAGCAGTTGAACTCTGCTACCCAAACGTTCATGATATACGAAACGCTGGTTTATTGGAAAGCCTATTACAGTTATCTGCCGTATTATCTTTACATATCCAAGCTTGCTGGGGCATAGTGCTTACGACCGTGCAGCTCTGCGCCGAGCTAGCTTGGGCATATCTATTTCGTACCGGTACGGCAACGTACTGCATAAAAAATTCAGGTCCCAAAGGGGGATCCAAATCATTCCTAGGAATGTGAATTGGAGTGTCCATGTTACTTATTATGCTTCAGCAACAGCAGCTACTTGGGCCGAGTTTCAAGGTCCTAAAGTGCAGTAGGTATACGGTTTTTACCAGCAAGAGATGAACTCGTCCCATCCCGTCCGTTTTTTGTGTTGGTGTTACTCATCCACCCAGAACCCATCCACCCATGCAAATCATGTCCCAAACCTATCTGCCAGGCCTACTTCCTTTCCCCTGAAGCGACACTTGTGCTTTTACGGAGCAGGCATAGCTGACCCTTTCATCGTTTTTCCCGCTAAAAACATGTTGCATGCAACACCGTCCTTCGCGTACCGGATTCGCTGAACTCTGAACTGTCATGTGCACTTAAAAATTTCCCCTACACCCGCACGCACGTGCGCACCACATGAAGCACCATCAACTCCTAGAGGTCGGACCGCTTCCGCATCTCCCTTAAGACGGACCATTTGTGGCCGTACCCAATTTGGCTCCAAAACACCGGCGATGACAGGCATGCATGCAGATCAACTTGCACAGCATTACAAGCTGACATGGACAACGTGCCCGCAGCATTACAGTGGTGCGTTTATCAGCAAGCAACCTTGACGAGGCGTCCGTGGCCAGAAGAGCACCACACCACAAGCTTCGTGTATCAGGAGCATAACGTTACGTTACAGTCTTTCATACGTGCGGAAGGGTGACGATTTCTTTGTTTTATGCTTTATGGCCAACACCTGGTTTTCCGCTAAGGACGGGCCGCCCAGCTCTGAACGACCGGAATAACAGGCAACCGGAACGTGTGCCCCTCAGCCTTCACGCACTCGGTCTCGAAAGCAAGGTTGTGGACTTCCCCAACGGGGGTGCTGGCCCCTTGCGTCATCCTTCAGGTCTGCCATCGGGTCATCATACACGTCGCATCCCTTGGCAGCATCGCACGCGCTGCCAGCCCTCTAATACTGCTGTTATCGACCGTCAAAGTCTGTCAGTTTGGTTATGTTCAGTCCCATATGGTCATCCCCTCATCCCCGCCCAGTCCTTGACGTTGTTAGCATTCGTCATCCGAAGCTTTGAATGTTCTCGCGGTCTTTCTGCGACATGGGACCGGATAGGCACCGTTTAGCGCTCATGCACATCCACCATACCCGAGTATGAGTACTGCCCCGCTCGAGCAATCTGTAATGCTCCGCCAACTCCGCAGGCAAGCTAACGATAACCCCGCGAGCGGCACGGCACTCCTGTAAGACAGCGCAGCGCTGTCAGCGCCCCAGCCAGAGCTGCACACCCGTGTATCGACACGGTGACATCGAGGGCAACTCGTTTACCTGCGCCTCTGCCTATCCGCCTGCCTTCCTAACCTTCGCCCTCTTTGGCTCAACCTGTTCCAGCCGGAACGGTCAGCAGCCGCCAAGCAACCACCGCCTCACATACCAACGCCCCCAAACGTAAGCCGTGCAAATTGCAACAAAGCAGCTTCCAACCAGCATGGCCATGCCTTCAGCCATATTCCGGCTTTGCTTGCACTTGCTTGACTTCTGATGACTGCCACACCTTCCAGTCAACGCACAGTTACCCTCCTAAGGCCCACTCCGTCCATTCATGCATGCAAAGGCATGTCGACACGCAGCCCCATCCAAGTTCGTAAGAGGCGCGAGGTAAGTGGTCTTTCATTATAACGCTAATGTAAACGGCTCATGTGTCCGCGCTGGAAGCCCGACCTCGCCTATCACAACCGCAAGGACCTCGCTCGAACTTCCTAATCCATACGGCATGGTGACACCCCAACACACCCAAAAACGTGGCGACGCGGCTGCCGCTGCGCTAGCTTTGCCCACAGTCGTGAAACCGTCACTGGGAAAAGTGCTTCTGACCGCAACGTATCCGTAGCCAATGTCCACGGTATATGAGGTCAGCTAGCTGCTACTCAAGTGCATCACCAGTTGTTGTAGCCGCCGCCCCCATATGGTGGCGGCGGCCCAGGCGGTGGGCCCCCTGGCCCTCCCCCTCCGCCGCCGTCCCGGTCGTCGCGCTCCATGTTCCAAGCGGCAATTTTTGCACGCCGTTCCTCCGAAGTTTCGCGCCGGCGGTCGCCGCCTCCCCGGTCCCTGCTGCGGCTGCGGCCCCGCCCCCGGTCCCTGCTCCGGCTGCGGCGCCGGTCACGCTCACGGTCCCGGTCCCGGTCTCGCCGTGGGCTTCTGCTGCGCTCCCGTTCGCGATCGCGGTCGCGACGATGATACCTCCCAAAAAGCTTCCGGCGCAGCTCCCTGCCGATGGGCTTGAGGTGCATGAAGTTGCAGTAGCCACCGCGATTGCAAGTGTTCTCCTCGTATTGACGGCACGTTGCCTCGCGGAAATCCGTCACGGGGCTAAACTCCACAACGATGGGCCGGCCGTCATAATAGCGGCCTTGCAGCGCCTGGAGAGCGCGCGCAGCCGCATCCTCATCCCGAAATTTGGCGTAAACGTTGCCGACCATATGGTCAGCAAAGTTATCACAAACGTTCAAGTTTTCCAACTCGCCGTGCTGCGCCAGCTCCTCAAAGACGTCCTCATAGAAGTCCTCGAAATGCTCTTGCGCTGCCTTCGGGTCAACCCGAATCGGGAGCCCATCAGGTCCCAGCGGCGCGTTCAAAAGCGGATTTTGGTACATATTCGCCATTAATATAGTCGGGCTAATAGTAGGCCGGTTGTGTAGGCGTGAGCAACGATCTCCATGGCGGCACGCTCCAATTTTGAAGTAAAATGGACAGTTGACACGGTCCTTTTCCGTGCCAAAGATGCTAGCCAAGTGCTCGGCCATATTTGCTTCAACTTCAGGGTATCGTCATAGGCAAAGTGATAGCCAGCAATCTTTAACGTTGGGCAGAACGCCCCTAATGGAGCAAAAACTTGGTGCTCTATGTTAGCATCAATTAAAACATCACGTACTTGAAGTAATGGCAAGGTTAGGGAAGGCAACCGATGATGTTACTGGCGCCTGTAAGGCCCTCAGGCCCAACCTGGAAGTGCGCTAAATCCTCCTTACCCCAGCATGCAAAAGCACTCCTGGTGCTCAAACGAGGTGAAAGCCTTGGTCTCACCTAGTAACTGTCTACGTTACTGGCTAAAAACTGTACAGAGGCATTATCAACCGTGTAACTGTCCGCCTGGGCCGAACGTATCAGTACCTTGCAATCTCCAACCTGCTCGGCTAAAGCAGATAGCATACTCGAAAGCTGCCTTTCTGTCGTGTGACGCAGTCTAGGCCGTGCCTGCCAAGCCACCCGACCCTCGGCGCTAAGGTCCACAAACCCAGCAATCCATATCCATGCAGCCTCCCACATGTAATTGTACCTCCCCGGGATTTTTGACTCTCCTGTTGCGATGATGACACGTGGCTGTCACAGCATCACGCTGAAATGGATCCAACCCTACCCGGCAGCCATAGGTCATCGTGCATATGAAACCAAGTCGTGTAGATGATCTTCACTACAGTCGTGCAATGCTGTCCTAGAGGAACAAACCAACCACCGTGATCAAGCTCTCCGCTCTGTCTCATTACTCATTATGTTTCATGACTTCAAAAAATGTATGCTGTCTGAGGCAATCATGATGAGAAATCGTATTACACAGCCCCTAGGGCGCTCCCCCGAGCCTGCTCCTCCCTTCCCTGCCCTCCGCCACTTCCTCCCCTTTCTTCCTCCTCCTCCCCTCCCTGCCCCCCTTCCTCCGTCACGACTTCCTCCCTATCCCATTTTCCTTTCTCCCAGCCTCGGCCCCCTGCCCTTTCTCCCCTCAAAAGTTCGTATGCGGTGGCCAGCAGAGCCGGTCCACAGCCGACAAGGGCGGTGCCTGGCCCTCCGGAAAGGGAACTACCTCCACCTCAAACACGCGGGGCCACAGCTTGCCGGTCAGAAACAGGCGCCGAGTGGACGGGTCGTACGCGATCCCTAACAGGAAAGGGCACATGTGGCGGGGAAATGGTGCGGGTGAACATCATGTACGTCTCGTGCACGTCGTACGGGGGTTGTACGGGATGTATACAGCATTGTGGTAATTGGCAATAGTTGGACACGCGTGGCGAAGGGCGGGGAAGGCGCAGAGGAGTGGTCGGCTAAAGTCCAGGGAAACGAAAATCGGATGACGAAGGGCCAGGGAGAGGGAGGAAGGGGAAAACGGGGTGGAAGTGGGGTTCGAGAAAAGTTAGGAAATTTGTGGATGAATGAGTGGGTGGATGAATGGCTGGCAGCTAGCCAGTCGCTGTGGACGCGTGTTAGGGCTGGCGGGGTGTAGAACACACACACGCACACACGCACACACACACGCACACACACACGCACACACACACACGCACACACACACACACGCACACACGCACACACATACACACATACACATACACATACACGCACACGCACACGTACACAGTCATGCACGTGGCCATGTATACACACGTATAGTTCTAGGGGACTCCGTGATCTTCCGGACTTATGGATGCAGGCGGACATGTCCGGCATTGCAAACACACGCATACACGCGCACGACCACACCCACGACCCCGACAGCAGCCATGCACAAAGCCACATCCGCACCCACGCCAACACCCGCAGCCATACCGTTCAGGACGTCCATCTCCCTGTCGTGCGCCAGGCCCTGCCGTATCAGCCCCTCCCGCAGCCCGTGTAAGTGTATCCATCCTTTGACCAACCCTGTTTGCATGTCGACCCGCGCGATGCACTCGGTCTGCCACACGTTACCCCACAGCTCCCCCTCAACCACCTCCAACTAAGACAGTTGGGGTCGTTAAGGTCGGTTGGGTCACGCCGGATGGGATTGGTTGAGGATATGGACGTCAGATTAGAATGTGGGATGGGATAAGTTTCGGAGTAGGTGGGGAGTAAGAAGGTGAAGTGTGTATGTGCGTGTGTGTATGTGTGTGTATGTTGGCTCGGGTGGGTTCGGGTGGGATGAGGTGGTGTTGGGTTAGCTCTTTAGGTGTGGGCGGATTTGGTCGGGTGGTTTCGTACGCGGGCCACACGGATCGTTGCAAACCCAGAGGAAAGGACGTGGGGGCCAGTGCGGGGCAGACAAAAACACAATGAAGAAATAATGTTAGTTTTGAAGAGGATCCGTACAACGGCCGGATCACACACCAGAGATCCCAACGGTGCATGGCCGGTTGCAAGTCACAATTTATAAACATAATTGAAAATCCAACTAAAAAAAGCACATTAAAAAACAATTGAAACACACCATTTAAAAGCACAATACAATCACAGCAATACGAGCTGCACTTTTTGGAGGATGGGATCTGAGACCCGAGCCTACCTCGTTAAGCCAGCGAATGGGGTGGCCCCGGTCCGTTACCTGGATCCGCCGTACCTGAGGGGGTGTACCGTGCGGGCGTGAGAGCGCGCATGCATGTGTATTTGCGTGTGCGTGTACGTGCGTGTGGGGCTTGTTCGCATGTGTCTGTGCGGCATACTGGGGTTGCGGGGGGGAGAGGTGTACAGGGACATGATGATTTGGGGCTTATGTTCGGAAACGAAACAAAACACAGGATCTGCCAAGTCTCTCGGCCCCCCTTGTTCTGCTTTCTTGAGGAGTCCCAATCCCTTAATTCCCGCAGAGTGCCGCGGGAACCCTCCTGAATCCTCCATAATGGGGCCCCTTCGAAAAGACGACGCATACCATCGTCATCACGACCATCACCATCACCACCATCACCACCATCACCACCACCATCACCATCACCACCATCACCACCATCACCACCACCATCACCATCACCACCACCATCACCACCACCATCACCACCACCACCACCACCACCACCACCACCATCACCACCACCACCACCACCACCACCACCACCACCACCATCACCACCATCACCACCACCACCACCACCACCACCACCACCATCACCACCACCACCACCACCACCACCACCACCACCACCATCACCACCACCACCACCACCACCACCACCGCATCATAGCCCCCCTCTTCCCCCCACGACCGCCCCCCCCGCTTTCCCTTAAACCCGTTTCCCTCCTCACTCCCTCCGCCCCATCCTCATTCACTCCCCCACCTCCTGCATGGTGTCTGGGTCAAGCCAGTGTATGACCTGAGGACCGCCGTGACAAGGTGAGGAAGAAAGAGGGCCGAGTCACGTCCAGCGAGGAGATCACATTAAAAAATGCAGTACGAGTAAGCCGTACATTGCCCAGGTATGGGACACGTGTGTATTCCGGGGAAACCATATGATTCCAAGGAAACACCACTGTCGCTTATACGTTTTTAGGCAGACAGACAGGCAGACAGACAGGCAGACAGACAGGCAGGCAGGCAGGCAGACAGACAGAGACACGCACCTGGGAGCTTTCACTGGCGATGAGGTGGGTGCCGTCATTGGTAAGACCCCAGCCGTCACCCAAACCCGTGTCAATCGGCTCGACCTGGCGTGGTTGTGGAATGGCGTGTGGCGGCGGGAATTGGGGTTGGGGGGTGGAAGGGAATCAGTAGTGCAGAAAGAAGCGACTAAGGGGTTGGGATAACTTGCCGACATGTCAAAAGTACCAACTGATGGGGTGTGAGCCGAGTATGTTTTATCATTGCTACCACTGCCACCAACCCCAGAAGCACCAGCGGCGGTATCCTTTATATCTGTCACCCCCGGCTCGGTGCAGCTACACAATGAAAATATTTTAAAACACATATACATGCAGATGCACATGCAGATGCAGATGTACATGTACACGCGCCTGGCTCAGTCGTCACAGACTCGGGGGAATTCAAACCACGCACGCGGGCGCATTGTTCCATCTTATAACCGCACATACGTACATATGTAGATACATGCATTTTCTCTCTTCTGAAACACGCACTCCCTTTCATACGCACTCCCATTCCCACTCTCTTTTGATCACACCCTCTAACATTTTCTCTCACGGTTTTCCTTGCACCCTTTTTTCACGTCGTAAACCCCCTATTGACCACCTCACACATCCGCACGTGTACCCGTAGCACCTGCTGAAGGTCCAAGCTAATTTTGAACCCCTGGCCGGTGCGCCACGTAATCATGTACAGCGTGTCGCCCAAGCGGGTGGAGCCCTCCCCGAAATGCTCGTACGGAAAATCCCGTTGTCGCCGTACAGTCCCCGTGGCCAGCTCCACCTGTCGAATGCTGGACCGGCCGTTAAGGCCTAACAAATAACGGAAAGGTCCGTATCAGGTAACGGAAAACAGGAGAAGAGTAAAGTAGGATGGAAATGGAAATGAGGAAAGGTAAGTATCCGCATTTGGAGAGGACAATCCGATAGCGGGTGTCCTGTTCTGGTGCGGTCCCGGGGGATTCTATGCAAGGTCGGGATTCTATGCAAGGAAGGAAGGAATTAAAGACAAAGTAAGTACTGCCGACTAGGTGAAAGCCGGGTTGGTTGTGCCGAGCTGGCATGGGCGTTGGGATGTTGTAGCATGCACATGATACCTCTTCCCCCTTTTTCTCCTCCTCCTCATCATCATCTCAGGTAATGGCCACACCCATGCGCCTGTGCATGAGCTTTGAGTAGGTCAGCCGCTGCATGCCTCAGCATTATTTCTAAGTTTTACCGGGTATCTGGCTAGCCCTTGCGGTATCGATTGTCATTTTGGTTTCAATGCCGGCCAATATTCGGGGTTTATAGTTTTGGCACGTGGGGGCTGGGGTTGGGAATTGGTTGGAGCCGGGAAGAGCGGGCCCCCGCCAAGCAGGATTGAAGACGGATGCTGTCTGGAAAGCCGGTGCGGACGAGGGTCGCGCTTGTTCATCCCATAGTTCACCCTATCGGTGCGGCCCTTGAAAAAGGACTACAGTGGGGCGACATCCAGCCCGAGAGTCATCCAGGGGAAAAAGCACTTCAGGCCGTTGGGCGCACCTGTTGACTCCCAAAAGATGTCAAAACATGTTTTGTTGTCATCGTCACACTCTCTGTCAAACTGCAATCCTGCGACAAGTCGCGAGACCAAGCAAGTTTGTTCATCTTCACTCCAAGAATTGAGTGACCAAGCATTTGGCCAGCACTGCTCGCTGCCGACCCACCCTGCGTAAAGGCTTTTGGATCATGTGGGTAATCCGCCACGACTCTGTAGGTCCATAAAGACGGGTGTGGATGGGCTTGCTGCGTCTTTCGTCGCTTTCCTGCTGACGCGATCGCTGGGCCTAACAGGGCGATCAGAGCAGCGATATAAATGAGTCGGAGTTCGCCACGGCATCGTCTTCCGGATGCAGCACCACCGCAATGTCGACGGTTGAAGCACTCGGTCATTTCCGTGCGCGAAACAGAAATCATGTCGAGGAACCAGGTCCAAGTCCTACCTCATACATTACTTCGAAAGTCCTGCAGTTCCTATTATGAAACTTAACAGTTCAGTGACAGGCAGCAGGATATCGCCCTGCAGGCATGCAAGAAGTTATGCGCCACAGACTGACGCAATATAAGCTTGTTAACCTTCCCATGGCGGTACAAGGTTTCAAACTCAATCGCACGCTACTCTCCTGCAAGTGTACGCCGAAACGTACGGCTGTCCGTTCGACAACCACCTTCCCATCTCAACCTCCAACGTCCTAAGCACGAGGGATGCAGGGAAAATGGGAGGATGGCGAGCTGGAATGCTGGGAGCGTCAACGTGTTGCCTTGCATCCTACAGCTATCATCGATATCGAAAAATTAGCCTATTATGCGGTATACGTGATCGCCCGCCATTGTTGCCCTGAGAAAGCGCCGTCCCCAACCTTCTTCCCATGCACATTTTGATCGTCCAGGCCTGTTACCTGTTATGTTACAAGCTCACGAGAGCTCGTGAAGCCCAGACGAGCCAGGAGGCTCATGGACCGCGAGTTCTACCGTAGTCAAAAAGAAGGAAGAAACAAAAAAGGAAAGAAGGGGTCATGAACCGCATCTGCGAGAGAAACAGTAACTAGGGTAGGCGACCTCAGGCTTACTACTCGGCTATCAGCGTGCGTCGCCTCCAGATGTTGTGTACGATCTGCGCAAGTCCGCGCTGATCATCTATCTCCATAACAGACCTCATATTAGGCACGGGCTCGATAGCAGCCTGGCGTACAGCTAGGTTGAGGAGCCCTTCCCGTAGCTCATTTTAGGCGGGACACCCTAGCAACACGTGAAACTCACATTCTACTGCATTATTGTTGCCACAGACCCTACACCAGCGCTCTTGGCGCGACTCTGCGCGACCGACCGCCGGGTCGCCTAACCTCCAAAGGCCACGAAAACGCAGCAGTGACTAGAATGACTTCGCAGGGATGTCACATGTCGTGTGTTTCGGCGTTCCCATCGAATGGGTATGCCGGCACATCTGAAACCCCGGTTTACGGTTGTTCGACACAAATTCCCGGGGTATAGTAATAAGACGTGGGTTCTGCCAGTCATCATCAAAATCGCTTCTTCAACGTTTCCATGACAGATCTAACATTGATTAGGTTCGTCGGAATGAAATTGACCTTCCGCAGGTCCGGGTGCAGCACCGGAAAGTGCCCTACCCAGGGCAGCAGCTGGGTTCATGCAATCGGTCCCATCAAAATGTGAAACCTTGCTTCTCTCTGCTTTAGGCACGCGCACGCAAAAGTCGGTCGCTAGCTTGCGCTTATGAAAAGCATCGTTGCAAGGGGATGCCACTTTGAATGCCCAAGGATTTGGCCCTGAAAACGGCCTATGAATGCAACCACGTGCATGCTGCACAGCATGTACTGAGGCTTTGACAGTTGCATACGCCTCCTCCACCAAAAGACAAACGCGTTTACTTATATGGTGCCTCAAAATATTTTTATTGGTGTCAAGTAAATCATCGACGAAGATCATGTATCTTATACTGTAGGTCAAAGCTTGATGTCTTCACCGCCAAGGCCCCGTTGTATGGTTCCAGGGCTGATGGAGCGGTAGGAGAAGGACGGAAGACGGAAGTAACACCATGACATTCTACATACAAAATTGTACACCTTGTGCTTAAATGAATGCGGGGATCCAGGGTGGTCGTGGATACTAAAGGTGGTTTGGTTTGTATGGTTTGTAGCCATCGATGTGAACCTGGGTCTACTTTGTCATCTAATTGGATTGCTGAAACGCCAGTTATATATTGAAATTTCCCTGTGTACCATTTCGTCCATATTCACCCATTGGAGTCACTGTGGTTGAGGGCGACTCCTGTAGGCGTTCGGGCACAGCGAGTAAATTCTTGTTAGTACATGAACTGATGTCGCCATTGCAAGAATAGGCGTGATCACCGTCGCCTGCAGCGACTGCTGAGGCGGTCGGGTGGAGGCGCGAGTGGCTGGATGCTTGACGGTCGAAGCGCAGGCCAGGAGCTGAGAGGCGCCACAAGCTCAGCTTATTCGCTTTGGTACGTCCCAAACACTTCCAATACTCCGGCCACATTGGCCTTGGGCTGCGTGCGACGTGTCTCCCTTGCATGCCGACCGCTTGCAGGCCTCGCTTCCATCTCCGCCAAAACTCCCGGCGCGCAGCGACCAGCCACTTACAACAATCGATCGATGTGAGTTTTGACAAGAGTAAAACAAACGGCGCTTTTCTCCCGTACGTGCTTGCGCTCGCGTGTGTGATGACGAGCGGCCCCTCATCCTCTTTCTCTCAGGAGGCTCGCATCGGCAGCGGCCAGCTTGCCTGCTCCTCAATATCATGTTGCTGCTCAAAGGCCAGGTCAACGCATGTGGTGACATGCCCCGCGGAGCAGCTCCAAATTGAAACTGGACGGGTAAAACGCCAGCTCAAGCGCGGGACATTTGGGGGACGGGAAAAGGGGAGGGGGAAACGCGACACAACGCGGCCATCCATTCTTTCGGGCCATTTTCCACCCGTACCTTTCCCTTCTTGTACTTAACACTCCCATTCAGGCCCCCGCTTGTCGCGGGTGTATTACGCAAACTCACACGCTGCAACCCATGTGGCCCCCCACACATCATGCACACACACACAGAAATGCTGCCGCCGTGCAGCAGCGGCTCCCAGCTCCCCTCCCCCGGGACGTTAAACGAATGAAACAAACACTCATTGTGTTTTCCCGTCCTCCTCATCCGCCCCTCCCGCCTTCCCAACTCCATTCCGCTGCCCCCACCGTGTCGCTGGACCTCCTCTCCACCGCCTCCTCTGGCCCCTTCCGCGTTAACGAAAAAAATGAGCAGCGCTCTGCAGCGCTTCCCTCTGTCTCCATCCCATCTCGCCACTTCGCATCCCAGGTCTAATCCCATCTGCTCTGCCTACTCTCCGTCTTCATTCTCATCTTGACCCTAATTCCGCTCCATCCTCTGAGCTTGAGAGCTTCGAGCTTTTGATGCGAACACCTTAGGACTGCGTTTTGTCATTGTCATTTCGCTCCGGCCTGCCCTCCTCAACACACCGCCCGACCTGTCCTTGCCCCTCTCCGTCCCCCCTTTACAGGCTGATCTGGGTCGAGCTCAGGGCCTTGCGGCTTGGCGGTCAGGCTCTCAGAGCAGAGCCCGGAAGCCACCGTCGTCTCCGCCGCCGTCGGCGGGGCAGACCCAGCAGCAGCAGCCGCAGCAGCACCTGCAGGCTCAGCGGCAGCGAAAAGAACCCCTGCAAGACGGTCCTTTACCGCCGGGTGTTTCTTCTGCGGCGGCTCCTGTCCCGGCCCCGGGTCCTGCCGCCGGCGAAAGCCGCTCCTCTTTCCCACAACCCACAGGGGGCCTCCAGGCGGGGTTTCGGAGCACCACTGGTGTACGGCAGTCAGCAACAGCAACATCAGATGCAGCTGCAACAGGAGGGGAAGGGGCCGATGCGGGTCTGGTTTCGGAGGGCAGTGGCCCGGAGGGCCTGGGTTTAGTTGCGAGTCTTGCAAACATTGGCCAGCTTCCTGCGCAGCAACGATCACTACAACCGCCGCCGCAGCAGCAGCTGCAGCAACAACAGGAGGGCGCGATTGGGGCCCGCTCCTCTGACTCGTCTTCCTCCTCTTCAGCTTCGTTCACCTCCACCTCTGCTTCCGCTGCACGGAATGCCGCCGCCTGGCCCCTGGATGCACCCCTGCTCACCCACCGCATCGGCGCCTGTAGCTCCTGGCGTGAGCTCAGCTCGTTAGTGTCGCAGCACGCGCCGCGGATGAATGCCGTACATGTGACGGCGGTTGCGACGCGTCTGGCGCGCTTCTCGCCTCCGCTGCCCGCTGTCCGCGACGACGGTGGCGGCGGTGGTGGTGTTGACGCCGATGTGAGTGGCGATGGTAATAGCGTTGAGTCGCAGCAGCAGCGGCGGCGCTTCCGCCAGATGCGGCGATGGCAACGAGGGCAGGAGGATGAGGAGCTGCACGAGTGGATGAGCTTCGTTCGTTCGATACTGGCTCTAGTCGAACGTCACGCGGCGATACTAGATGCCCGGGGCATCGCCAACATCAGCTGGGCGCTGGCGAGGGCGCTGCCGGCGCCGCTGCTGCAACCGCCGTCGCCCGTTGTGGCGGCAGTGGCAGTAGCCGCCGGTGCGGAAGTCGGTTCTTCAGAGACTGGGGGCCAGTGCGACATGGGCACCGCCGCCGCCGCCGGCGTCGCCGCTGGGATGGGACCACGTCGGGGTGAGGACCGCGCCGTTGGATTAAGGCGCCGGCGGCACCACGGCGGCGATGGGGTGGCTGGGGATGAGGGCGATGGTAGTGGGGAGTGGCGGCAGCCTGGTGGGAGCTGTACGGCTGGTGGCGGGGGAGAGGCGCCAGCTGCAGTTCGGTTTAGCGCGTTGCGGGCTGCCGCCCGCCATACCGTCGGTCGCCTGCTGGCTCTACCCGCCGCTGACCCGGGGGAGTGGAGTAAAACGCGCGAGCGTGAAAGCTGCCGCAGCGGCGGCGGCATCATGACGCCGCGGCACATTGCTAATGCGATGTGGGCGGCGGCGTCGTTGGGGGTTCTGTCCGCGCCTGGGCCTGAGGGGAGGGAGGCAGCGGCGGAGGGGCTTGTACGACAGGGAAGTACGCATGGTGGCGGCAGCGGCGATGTCGAGGGGCCCCGACGGTGGGTGATGCGTGCCCTGGCGGCGGCACGCGGCGCGCTGCGTACGGGGGGCTTTACTGAGGAGGGAATTTCGCAGTTGGTATGGTCGGTTTCGGAGCTGGGTCTGACGCCCGACGCGGCATGGATGGAGGATTTCTACGGCGCGGCCCGACGCCAGGCTTCGGAGCTGTCGGCGCACAGCGCTGCGAATGTGCTGCTGTCGCTGGCGAACATGGCGACGGCGGCCGCCGGGGGTCATCGTGACGGCGACGACGATGTCGACGATGACGCCACTGACACCCCCGCCGGCCTGGCGGAGTCGCATCTCACCGGGCGTCGGAACAGGATTGACAGCGGTCGTGCCAACAGCAGCGGAGCCGTTGCGGCCACCGCCCCTGCCGCGGTTGCTTTCCTGCTACCCAGCGACAGTTGGCTCCTCAGCTTCCTCGTGGACACCGCCCCCTCCCTGGAGTCCGCAGATCCCGTATCCTTAGCCAACAGCGTCTGGGCGCTGTCAGTGCTCATGCGTGTACGGCGATCTCAGCTGGCGGCGGCGTCGCCGCTGCCGCGATCTCTTTCACCGCCGCCACCTAGCTGCTGGCTGCGCCATTTGTACGGTGCGCTCTCACAGCCCGCGACGTTGCGTCGCTTCACGGACGCGCAGCTGGGGCAGTTGGTTTGGTCGTTGGCGGATTTATCAGATGTACGGCCAGGCGGCCTGCCCTTGGTTCCGTCTGCGGGGATGTTTGGGCTGGTGGCGGCGGAACTCAGGCGGCGGCTGGTGGCCATGGCCGACAAGCACTTTGCCATGGCGAGCTGGGGCATGCAGCGCCTGCAGTTGCGATTAGAGCAGCGCCAGCATCTGCTACAGCTGCGGCAGCTCGAGGAGGAGTTGCTACAGCTGCGGCCGGAGGTGGAGGAGCTGCCGCGTCGAAAGCGGGGACTTATCGCAGCTGCAGCCGCAGCAGCGGCGGACAGGGATCCGGATGACCAGCAGCAGGAGCAGAAGCAGCTGGCGAGCCATGTACGGCATTCGTACGGCCGGGAGCTGGCGTCGTCCGCATACTCGGATGGCCAGAACGCGGACTGGTCGTCGGCGTGGTTGGCAGCTGCTGAGAAAAGGATGCCGTACATGGCGGACCGCTGGTTGCTGCTGACGTTGCAGGTGGCGGCGGCGTCGGGGGAATGCTTCGCGACGGCGGCGTCTGCTAGCAGCGGAGACGGCGATGCAGTTTTGGCTTGGTTTGCCGTCGCTACAGACGCGGTGCTACTGCCGCCACGTCGGCGGATGGGACATCTCCCGACACCGGCTGGAACCGATATGGGTCGGCAGAGTCAACAGCACTGCGGCGACAGCCGTATGGCCGCCGGCTCCTCCGCTACAGCCGTTTCCGCCGCCGCCGCTACAGCTATTGCTTCGCTGGGGCAGCTGCTTGATGATCAACCGCCGAGTGGCGACGGGGTAGCAGCGGCGGCGGCAACACAGGGCGGCGGCAGTGGCGGTACGAATCCCAGCGGTACGACACCGGCGCTGGACGGCGTTGGTCCCGACTCCAGAACGACCGCGAGCAGCAGCAGCAGTAGCAGAAGGCGACGACGGCTGCTGCCAAGGCTGTTGCAGGCGCTGCTGCTGGCGGCTGAGGCTTGCTTGCCGCCGGGACCGGCGCTGAGCGCGGTTATGGCGGCCGCGGCGGCGGAGGTGCTGGCGGCGACATTAGCAGTACACCCCAGCGGCAGCGAAGGCGGCGGCGGTGGTGGCGCCGAGGAGGCGACGTCGTGGACGGTGACTGAACTGTTGCGATGCGGCGCGGCGCTGGCGCGGGCGGGCTATGAGCCGCCGCCAGCCTGGCGACAGGCGTTTTTTGGGCGAGTGCTACAGCTCGCGGGGGTGTCGACGGCAGCGGCGGCGCCGCCGCCTCAGGAGCTACGGCCTAGCCACCCGGGGTTCGCCGAAGCGACCGTGCCGTCGGAGTCAGACCGTTACGCCGCTGGGTTGCCTGATCAGGCGTCGAGCGCTACAGCAGGATCGGCGGACGGGCCTGACGGCGAGGATCAAGGCCCTGAGCAGCAGCAGCGGCGGCGGCGGCAACAGCCGCTACGCCGCCACCGCCACGGGCACCACCTGTCCGCGTCTGACGTGGGTTTGCTGCTGTCGTGCTCGCAGAGGTGGGCTGCGACAGCCAGCGACGCTACCTTGGCGGCCCTTCTGTACGGCGTGCCGTACGAGCTTTGGACCCCTCGCGCGGCGGCGTGGGTATGTCGCCTGCTAGCGTCACAGGTCACGACACAACAGCCTCAGCTACAGCAACAGGGGTTGATGCAGCAGCAAAAGCAGTTGTCACCGTTCGAGCGCAACACGCAGGGATTGGAACAGGGCTCAGCGCATCCGCTGCCGGATCAGCTACAGCCGTCGCTGCCGCCGCCGTCGCCGCCCCCGCAGCAGCAGCAGCCGTGCGACGAGGGCGTGGCCCACAACAACAATAACAACAACAGAATTACCAGCGGCAGCGGCAGCGGCGGGTCTGCAGGGCTTAAGGCAGCGGATCCATTCCGGTGCGAAGGGCCTGCTACTGCATCGGAAGCGTTGCAGGATCCGTCACTGACGGCAGCCTCACCGGCCTCGCCGCTATTGGACCAGTCGTCTGCGGAGCTGGATCCCGCATGTACTCAGCCCGCAGCGATTCAAGGACCGCCGCCGGCGGCACCGCCGCCGCCGTTGCCAGAGGGTTCCGTACTCGCGTCGTCGGCAGCGGCCGCGGCGGCAACTAGCAGCGCTGCCGCTGCAAAACTCGACTGGGACGTGGATTCGGACGTGGAGGACTTGGATTGTAATACGGGTGTGAATGGCGGAACCCGGAAGGTGGCGGTTCGCGAGTATGATGTGGTGCTTGTTGCACCGCGCCCTCGACCGCTGCTGCCGGGTGGCCTGATGGCCGCTGGGACAGATGGCAGTGGCAGTAGCAGCAGCAATGCGCGGGGGCCCTTCCCTAAGGCCGGCGCTGCCGGCAGTTTATCGTCCCGTGCCGGGGCTGCAGTACCGGACCTCAACGGCGACGCGGCGGCGGCGGCGTCAGACGGGCCGCTGGGGGAAGGCAAAGGCAATGGTGGTGGCGATGGGGACTTACCTGCGCCGGCGTCGGAGGCGGGCGCAGCGGTACTGCCGTACACACCGGGTGCCGACGGCGCCGGCGCTCGGAGAGTGGAGGTGTTGCAGCGGGGCCCTGGGCGACCAGCGGCGGCGGCGGCGTTGGTAACGGCTTCAGCGGCGGCGGCACAACCGCTGTGGCTGGCAACCGGTTTCCAGCCCGTTGGCGCACACCCACACACCAGGGGCTCCGCGATGGCTTCCGCCACCGCAGCGTCATCGTCGTCATCGGCAGCCTCTTTGCCGTCTCGGCCCATATGGTCGCCAGCGGCAGCGGCGGCGGCGGCAGCGGCGGCGTCTGCTTACGTCAGCACCTGGCCTGGCGACAGCAGCGGCAGCGATGGCGAGGCGGGTGTGTCGGCGGGATCGGCGACGCCAGCAGCCTTGTCTTGCCTACCTGAGGACTTGGACGGCACGTACGGCAGAGGCCAGGATGGTTTTGGGAGCGGTATCAGCGGCGGCCGTGGTCCCGCCGTTGCGCCGGCTCTTGGCCTTGGATCGGTTACGGGACCCAGACTCGCAGGCTTAGCACCTGCTACTCCATCGACGACCCCGCGGTGGCAGCCACCAGCGCCGCAGCAGCAGCAGCAGCAGGAGCGGGGGGAGCGGCCGGTAGCTGCATCGGCGGCGACGACGGCGCCGCGCTTTGTACTGCAAGCCCTTGGGGCGGCATGTGCCGCTCTAGAGCGTCAACACGGCCGCCGACTCGGCCGGCATCTTGTGCCGTACCATCTGGATGTACTCCCGGCTGGTGGTGGTGGCGCCACCGCCGCCGCCCCAGCAGCAGCAGCAGCAGCAGCGGCAGCTTCACTCCTTCCGTCGTTGGCAGTGGCGGCGGTGTCACCGGTCTGGGCGACTGCTGCCGCCGCCGCCGCCACCGCCGCGCCGCTGGATGGTAGTTGGTCCACCTTCAGCTTGTCGCAGCTGCTCTGGGCTGCAGCACGGCTGCGGCTACGGCCGTCGCCACGGCAACGTGCTGTACTGCGCATCACGCTGTCGGCGGCGCTAGTGCGGTGGGCAGCACAGCCACCATACGCTCTCATACCGCTGCTATGGTCCTGCCGCCGCTTAGGTGTGCCATTGGGCGCGGGGCCGACGCGGCTACTGCGGCGGGCGCTGTTGCTACATCCCGGGCTACAGCCGGCGGCTCTAGCCGACGGGCCGCTGTTGATGCTGCTGGAAGCGCTCTTGGGATGGCGGCTGGATCCTCCAATGGAGTGGTCCCGCCGGGTGCCGTACCGTCTGGCGTCGTGGCTGGCACGGGCGTCCCCTGCCGTGGCAATAGCTACTGCCGCTGCGTCTCCAACCTTTGCGGGAAAGCTGGGTTTCAGAGGGGCGAGGTGGGCGGCCCGAACCGATGCTGGAGCCGTTGGATCTGCAGCGAAGGTCGGGAGAGACTCTGTCGGGCCCACCGATAGCGGCGGCAGGAGTAACAGCAGCAGTAACAACAGCGGCGGTGGCGGCGTTGTCGAGGCACGGCAGCTACTGCTGGTCCTTAGAGCGCTGCGGCGATTGCAAAATGCGGCCCGCAGTGAGGCAGCTGGCAGCGGCGGCGACGACGACGATACACGCCACATCGGTTTTAGCCGCCGCGACGGTGGCCCGCAGGCGGCCCCAGGCCTACGGATAGCAGCTGGTGGCAGCATTGATGCGGACGTCAGTTCTGCAGCCCCCGGCGCTCGGCCGTACTTTTTCAGGCTGCAGCTGCCGCCTCGCTGGTCGCCGTCCTGGGCACCGGTCCCGCCCTCCAAGCTCGCGACCCGTGGGTCGCGCCACGGTCGCTGCCGCAGCACTCCCGCCGCCACTTTGACACCGCTCGACGACGCGCTGTGGCCGGAGCTGTGGCCCATGCTGAGGATTGCTGTACGACAGCGCTTGACGGAGGTCTTTGGCTTGACGCCAGGGGTGGCGGCGCCGCCAGCTACGAGTCCGCGAGAGCGCCTGGCGGCGTTGATGTGCGGCGCCGCGTGCGGGCTCGTAGACTGGGAGGCTTGGGGCGTAGCGGCGATGCGTCGGCTGGCTGGCGAGCTGCCACCCCGGGACTACCACGCTTGGCTGGCGCTGGCGGTGGGCCTGCAGTTCCGTGTGACCCGTGGGACGCTTGAGGACCTGCTGCTGGCATGGTGCATCGCCAGCGGGCCGCAGCTGGACGCTATGTCTCCGCGACAGCTCCATACTACGCTGCGCCTGGCAGGGCGCGTGGCAGAGACGTTGCTACAGCCGCTGAGCTTCGATTGGGTGTCCGTGGCGCTACGGCGCTACAGCCGCTGCATCACGGCGCTGCCGCCGGCGCAGCTGGCGCAGGTGCCGGCGGTGCTACGGCGGCTGCGGCGACTGCCGCCGCCGCAGTGGCAGGCATCGTACGCGCAGTTGGTGGTACGGCATGCGCTACCGTACATGTCGGGCCGCAGCGCCCAGGCAATGCTGCGCGCCGCCGGTGCGCTCAGCCCGGAGCTGGCGGCGGCGCTTCGGGGTCCTGTGCATGCACATATGACCCAGCTGTGGATGGCAAGGCAGGCGACCTGGCGGCAACGGCAGCGACGGCGACGGCGGCAGTCGACGGCGAGGCGGTCGGGGGAGCAGTCTTCCGAGCAGCAACGGCTGCGGCTCGTGCAGCTGCAGCGGCAGCGGCAGCACCTGCGTTTAGGGCGGGGAGGGGGGAAGGCACAAAGCTGATTAAGTACCTGCAGCGTGCTGCCGCAGCGGTAGCAGTAGCAGCAATAGCACCACCACCACTGCTAGCACCCGTTGTCAGTTAAGGGCGGGCTGGGCAATCAGGCTGTCGGGCAGGCAGACATGCAGGCAGGTAGATAGGAACTGGTGGTGGGATTGCGGGCCTATATGTGATGCATGCATGGGGTGTCACTCCTGGAAAGAGGGGACTTTTTTGTTAGGCGATGAAGATGGTCTCTCTTTATGTTCAGCAGTGAAAGAGCGGCGGGGAGAGCGCCAGAATACGAGAGGGAGAGAGCGGTTGAGTGGTAAAGCTGCAATATGTATAGAGGATGAGTCAAGAGGGAATATGTGATGGTGGTGGTGGAGATCCGATAGGATTCGCGAGTGCGATTCAAACTACGGTGCTTATACATGGGATTTGTGCTGTGTAATGTGCAGTCAATGTGCACAGGTTTCCTCCTATCCTCTCCGTTCGCGTCCCTGCTGTGTGGAGTCGGGCTAAGCTACGCCTCCGAACGCCACAGATTCACGCAGATGCAGATGCAGGACTGATTACAGACGGCCTTCGGCCTTTTCAGGTCGCTTGTGTGTGCGTCAGTCCGTCACACACGTGTTTCGAGTTCCTGATGCGTTTTGTGTGTGTAACCCAGCTGAGTCTGTGGCTGTGGCTTTATCACAACCGCCGGACACGTCCTTCCTCATCGGCACGTGCAACCTAACAACCTGAACTGACAAGAGCTGCTGTGAACATTGATGCCGGTCGACTTGTATGCCGCGTGTGAGAAGTGCGTCACCGAAGGGAGCCCTTAGATGGGGGCATGTTTTTTAAGGGGAGCAGCACTTTTGCTCACACACAGAAGAAGGGGGAGAACTACTTGTCTGCCGTTCTGCCAGAGCCGAGCAACCAGTCAGTCAGTCAGTCAGCGGCAAGGGCCGGCCTCACACTCATGTCGTCATAAGGCCAAGTTGTTTGGCGCAGGTCGGGGATGTGATGAAGACAAGGCGCCCGCAGATCCATGACATCATTGTCGGTAGGATACCTGCTGGGTTCGAACAGTAGTCATATTCTGGAGGAGGACTCTGGGAATCATACGCAGCAAAAGTCGAAGTGGTAACAGCCAAAGTCCAAAGCACCTTGCGAGGGGCGAAAGAGGCGTGTGCGCGCCACACTCCGTGTAGTCCAGTAGGTAAAGTAAATGTATTGCAAGACTTGAGGAAGTCTAGGGGATCACCGAACGGGAAGAGGGGAAGCGGGGGGCGTGGAATTGGGATGTCTGGGGAAGCCCGCCCTGGTCCGAAGTAGTTAAGAGGCGTGCTGTTTCCCGGTTGACTCTAATTCCGACGATGTTTGTGGTGTGGCCGAAGTGCTAGGCTCGGAGTGGCTTGGCTAGGAAGTATTTTTCCCTTCGAAAGACTGTGTCGAAATGTTGCATCCACCCGCATCTCCAGCACTCGGGGTCTCCGTTCGTGGGTGAGGCCCAAAGATGGGTTGGGGGCTTCGCCGCCTTGTCAGTCGCGACTGTTGGAGAAGAGTGCGGCGCAGGACCGTTGTGTGCTCATGTCGTCGAGGTGCACTAGATAGGCAACAAAGCAGGCAGACGTGTGTGTGCTTGAGTTCGTGATGAGTTGAAACGGCTAGAACGAGAGCGTGTTTGCTTGCGTGTCATTGCGGGCGTGTAATTGCTATGTGTGTGTGTGTGTGAGAGAGAGAGAGTGTGTGTGTGTGAGAGTGTGTGTGAGAGAGCGTGTGTGAGAGAGCGTGTGTGAGAGAGTGTGTGTGAGCGAGCGTGTGAGAGAGAGAGGGAGTGTGTGAGAGAGTGTGTGAGAGAGAAGGGAGAGAGAGAGAGTGCGAGATTGTGTGTAAGAGAGAAAGGGAGAGAGAGAGACGAGCCTCGAAATGGGCAATGGTGCAGGGATAGGCTGGGGAGGCATTCGCAATCAACCCATCCAACTCGCGGTCTCCTTGCCGCCGTACTGGACGCCATTACGGCACATTACTCGTCGACGCCCCTTCCCTTCAAGGAAACACGAACAACTGAGCCTGAGACTGCGCCATCCGATCACAAGTTCCTTCGCACAAGGCAAAGGATTCTGACAGACCTGATGATGTCAGGCCCCGTCCTCTGCTCTGGCTCCTGGTATGGCCGCATGGAGCCTGCCCACAAACGTCTACACACGGCGGGAAACGGTAGTTAATTCTCCCTCTTTTTGCCACTTTTTGCCGCCGCCAAGAAGGGTGGACCCCGCGAGGTATTCTCAAGTTTTTGACCAAAAAACAGCTCCCCCACCGCAGAACGCAAAAAGGCACTCCCAACAGCCACGGACGCCTGGAAGCCACAACTCAGTACACGACCATGCACCCCGCCCATCCACATCCAACCACCACCAGCCTCACCCCCACCGGCAGCGGCCTCCCAATTACCTCCAGTATATCCTCTTCGCATACCAATTTGTAGCCACCCGTTGTAGCGTCGTTCTGGTCGTTGGGCGACTCGCCCTCTACAGCGGCGCGTGCGTGTCCTTGTGCTGCTCGTTAGCGAAGACGCGGAAATGCTTAGCCGGGGCGGCACATGCGGCTCGCAGCCGCTGATAAGCTGGCGTGCCCTTCTGTTGTACCTGTCGGAGCAGGACGAGGGGGTCATGCTTGGGGTAACGAGGCGGTGGCAGCGTCACACTGCCGGTGGAGAAACAGGCGCTGCAGCTGCTGCCGCCATGGGCGGGCCAGGGGGGCATTCGCCATGGTTGACCCCGCCTGTGTTCGGTAACAAGTAACAAGTTACAAGTTCCGCACACAAGTGCGGGTGTGTCCGTAAAAGCCGGGGGGGCCATGGACGTTGTACTGGTATTGTGTGTATTGGTATTGGTATGGTAACGTACGGTCCTGCCGTGCAGCGTTGTTGTTGTTGTATGATATCACGATGTGCAAAGTCCGTTTTTCCGGAATGGGGAAAACTGGTGCTGGTGGTGGTGGGAGGGTGTAGAGGGCACCGTTTCCGAGTTTGATTTTAGAGGTGGCTACCAGTGACTAAGTGGTTGCCGCCACGCATGCGCTGAAGCACACGTGGTTCTGCGGGCAGTACGAGATGCTTCAGTTGAGCTCCCCTTGATGGGACTCCGAGTCCCACAGAGCGCGACTAACAATACTGAGATACTGGGGCCTGTAAATGGAACCAGCGTGAATGGGCCAGAAGGTGGCAGCCCATGCCGGGTGCGCCCATCCCTGGAAGCAACTGTCTGAGGGGACTTGTGCTGGACGCAAGTGTGCTGAACCCATGCGTGTATAGTTCGGGAGGTATGATTTATCACCTGTTGTAAAGGAGATAAAACGTTTTTTGTGGCTTTTATCCCAGGTTTCGTCGCGACAAGGTATGAGAGGCGTCCTTGATTTGCGTGTCATGACCCAGCTTCCCCCAGCAGCTGTGATCCCTGGTGCATGTTTCCTTTTTTTGTCTTTCTTTTTTCTGTTGATTGTGCTGCTTTTGTGGAAGTCATTGAAATTAATAAATTATTATTATTAATGGCAGAAGAAGTTTAATTGACTTCGATGCACACTTTCTCTGTCAAGGCGAGCGACCGAGTACCAAAGCGCAACTAGCGCAACCTTGTTCGCCTGCGTTCAGCTCAGCGGCCAGCGCTTGTGATGCGCTAACGCCGCTAACTGATTGGGGTATAACACTAATTCAGCTGCGTGCCAACGGAGGTGCTCTTGTCCCTAAAGGTACGGGTATTCGCTGTATGTTTTAAATTGGTCTCGTTCCTGTCCGTTTCGCTTGCCGATACGGAAATGTTTTGATCGCTGGAATAGATATCTTGGCTTGAATTGTAACCTCCAATCTGACTTCTAAATGCCGAGCATGGCGAATTGCAGGCGGTGTGGTCTCGGATTTCTGGGCACTAATCCACACCGTCTGGCCACCCGACATCCTTTCTCTCAACGAAAAAAGTGATAAAACTAATTTGCCATGGACCTAACTACCCCAAATGTTATGTGTCCTAATTTGGCTTCAATTCTGCGCTAGCTGAGGCAATTTCGTCAATGAGGCTATGAATATGCTTGGTCGTGTAACAAGCCCTACATACAGCCTTTAACAGCGGTTAACGGTCGTTTAGAGCGCTGTTGCACTCGTACAAGCCGGTCGGGGTTTCCACTGTAACTATCACAACTACACACGCTACCACAGCTACACATGCTTAACCCCCAAAATCCGCCGCCTCACGCCTTGTTCTTGAGCAGTCAACTCCTCTTATCCTGCCCTGTTTTATAAATCTTCTTTTCACCACCCAGCCACGCCTGCTGCAGTAGTCAACGCAAGCGATCAGGCCGTTTCAAGCCAATATCGTAGCCTATGTACCATAAGACGAAAGAAAGGAATCTCGTGCCGCTGCAACCTGTCGGCAATAATTTGATGGCAGGCGTGTCGGCCATGGTTTCGGCGCGTTGTGTGTAGGTCCATCTGATGTGGCCCAGGGTAGCATCCTGTAGGGTACATCACCCGGAATTGGCATCCAACGATCTTTTCTTTTCTGAAAAATCGTGATATAACACCAACCTGACGCAATCCAAATGGTTGGGAATGCCGGCAGGACTGTCCTTAACGACAACGGCCGCAGATGGCAGCGCGGAAAGAACCCGCTGTGAGCATGGCGGGGCCGGTGGCGGGGCCGCCGCCGCTATTATCATCATTACAAACATCACCGCCACAGCCATCGCCTACATTGACTTCTCGTGTGAAGGTTGTCGAGGCTGCCGACGAAGGCACCGGCAGGAGGCGCAGCAGCGGCAGCGGTAGGGTGTGGAAGATTGTTGCTGCCGTCTTCGTGCTGGTGGCATCAACGCTCACGGCTGCTGCAGCTGGCGGCAACACGGGCTGTGACAAGGAGGACAAGGGCTACGACGGCGGGGTGATTGGCTCAGCAGTTGATGGCCTTGGGCAGCCTAGGATGGCGACGGGACAAACCTACTTCATCGCTGCGGACCAGGTGCGTGGCCCTTTGGTGATAGGTGTTAGGTGCGTTGGATTTGTATGTTTGTATGTTTGTATGAACGCACTGGAATGACGCTAAAGCGCTCTGCCGGCATCCCAAAAGTCGCCACCGCGGCGGCCAGCTACTACAGAAACGTGATGCCCTGTTATCTGTCTGGGTGCCGACGAATAGGGTGCGATATGCTGGATGCTTACATGTACGTTTTGTCCCAGACAAATTCGGTGAGGCTCGCTGTAGGTTGCCTGGGACTACGTGCCCTCCGGACGGAACCTCTGCTATGACGAACAGATGGCCTCGATGTCTCCGACACACAGTTCGAACCCGGTTGGCGGCACATTTGCAAAAGCTCAGTACCGGGAATACACGGATGGCAGCTTCAAGGTAGGTGCACATGTGTGCACTCGTGTATGTATGTATGTATGTATGTATGTATGTATGTATGTATGTATGTATGTATGTATGTATGTATGTATGTATGTATGACGTTGATTACACTGTGGGCTGAAAAGCCGGGGGCCCAGGGCCGAAGCACAGCGCGGGGGGCGGGTGCATACGGCTGGTTAGTC